TACTGAATATATGATCTACAACATATTCCTACTAATAGTGACGTATCTTCAATGATACCCATACGTACAAACATAGTACGATTACTGTATGATAGAAATATGGTGTATATAGTCGTAACAGCAGCAAGAAAGCAGCATGTACCATACGAATATACAACTAGAGACATAATATAGCGGCGAGAAAGCAGTAATTGGCACTGTGACGTAGTGGAGACATGGCCATTGGTGTATACATCACACCTCTATCTCCATGTCTTGCACATACAATAACCTGTACATACAATAACCCGTAGCCGTGTATATACGTGGTTGTCTGGTCCGCTTCCATCATGTCATGTCACTCAGGCCACAGTGTACGACAGGTCAAAACCCATGGTGGTGGGTAGGATTACGGGGATTAGGATTACTGGGCCCACTGTCAGGAACAAAATTAATCGTAAGATTAGTCTTAACATTAACTTTGACTCGTAGACCGTTTACAGAAACTTAAGTATAGTTACGAGAAAAAAAAACCTTAGCAAATTTCCTCATAGCTTCAAAGACGAAACAAAATTGTACCGGAAAATTTTTATGTTGATAGTATTGTTAAGACTAATGTTGAGACTAATTTTGTCTCGGACCACGGGAATGTGGACGTCTAACGGAGGTCATCACCGATTATCGTTGTCCATCATAGGTGCCGCCTCCTCGTTGCCAATCAATGGAATCTCTTCACTTTCCACGGCTTCACCTCTGGCCTCTCCCCCTCTCCCCTCATCATCCCCACCTCCCTCGCTCACCCCTCCACCCCTTCCCTCCTCTCCACCTCCCTCACTGACCCCCACACCTCTCCCTTCATCCCCACCCATCCCGTTATCCATTGCCGTGACGATCAATCCCTCCTCGTGGTCGCTGACCGTCGCCGTGGCGACGGAGGAATGACCGACGTCCGGTGCGGCGGCGCTATCGTCGGACGCCAAGGATGACGCTGACTGAGAGAGGCGGACGAAGTCTGTGGTGCGTGCGACGTGGGCGACATCGCGACGCAGCGATAGCAGTGTGATGAGGAAGAGAATCGACCCGGCAACGTACAGGCCCGGGTAGAGCACGTAGAGCGCGCCTGAAACACACGAACAGCACATTCAGCGCGCCTGAAACACACGAACAGCACATTGCGCGCGCCTGAAACACACGAACAGCACATTGCGCGCGCCTGAAACACGAACAGCACGTAGAGCGCGCCTGAAATACACAAACGGCACGTAGAGCGCGCCTGAAACACACGAACGGCACGTAGAGCGCGCCTGAAACACACGAACAGCACTTAGAGCGCGACTGAAACACACGAACAGCACATAGAGCACGCCTGAAACACACGAACAGCACGTACAGCGTGCCTGAAATACATGAACAGCACGTAGAGCGTGCCTGAAACACACGAACGGCATGAACAGCGCACCTGAAACACACGAACACACGAACGGCCCACCAATAACGCAGAACTCCGACGAATCACTCGCGAAGCCAACCAATCACGCGTAAGGCTTACCACGGAGACTGTCTATCTGCGAGTAGCCGGCGTTGGTGAAAGCCGTCTGCAGCGGCGGGACGAGCAGCGGCATGTTTCCGCCGACGTTGCTGATGATGAAGAAGTAGGTGGCGACACCTGACGTGCGCACGCTCGCCGGCAGCAGCTCCACGAGGACGGTCAGTGTCACGGCAACCCACATCTCACCTGTGGGGAGGTAACGAGTTATATGTGACAACCAACATCTCACCTGTGGGGAGGTAACGAGTTATTTATGACAACCCGCGGCGCACATCTCAACCTGTGGGGAGGTTAACGAGTTATAATATGCCAAGCCCACATCTCACTGTGGGGAGGTAACGAGTTATATATGACAAACCACATCTCACCTGTGGGGAGTAACAGATTATACCTATGAGCAACCCACATCTCACCCGTGGGAGGTACAAGTTATATATACGAACGCCACATCTCGACCTGTGGGGAGGTAACGAGTTATATCTGACAACCCAAACAAATCATTTCAACCGCTGGTGGGGAGGTAAACGAGTTTATTATATGACAACCTCACATCTCACGCTGTGGGGAGGTAACGATCTATATATGAACACACGCCACATTCACCCTGTGTGGAGGTAAGCGAGTTATATATGACAAGCCACATCTCACTGTGGAGTAACGAGTTTAATAGAAAACCGCACATCTCCACCTGTGGGGAAGGTAACGAGTTTTTTATAATGACAACACACATCTCACTGTGGGAGTAAAGCGAGTTTATATATGACAACCGCACATCTCACCGCTGTGGAGTAAGAAGTTATATAGACAACGCACATTCACGCTGTGGGGAGGTAAGCGAGTTATATATGACAAGCACCACATCTCACGGCTGTGGGAGTTAACACGTATATATGACAGCCCACATCTCACTGTGGGAGTAACGAAGTTATCACTATGACAACGCACGCACATCTCAACCTGTGGAGTAACGATTATATATGACAACCTACATCTCACCTGTGGGGAGGGTAACGAGTAATATGACAACCATCTATGTTGGAGTAACAGTTGATAGACAACCCAATCTCACCTGTGGGGAGGTAACGAGTGGCGTGATAATGACAACCCCATTCTCCTGTGTAAGCGCAGCAAGTAATGGAGTTATATGTTGAAACATACATCTCATGCACAGGTAACTGAAAGTTGTTCCTTCAACCACCATTTCAGTGTAAGACTTCTTTAGCTATAATCGGAGTTACGTATAGAAGTGTCTGATGGGAAACATGTTAGATGTTAAACTCTCTAGATACCACTGTGTTCCCGGCCCCCACTCAGTGTTATTTAGGGTAGCCGATATGCTCGTTCCTCCTTTGAAGACAAGCCCTATCTTCAGGACTGCTAAAATTTCTGAACCGCCCCCTTTCGCCGGGGCTTTTTGCGGGTTTTTCCTGCCTTGGAGACCCCCCTAAATCCGGAAGCACTGCCTCATGTACCCCCTATCTCAGGTGAGCTCTCATTCCAACCGTATGACGTTAGTGTAGCGTGTGGAACTGTTGAACCGGTCTACACTACGTTGTTCAGTGATCGAGGGAACTAGAGGGCTATTTTTACATTTCAAAATTAAATAATCCTGAATGAGCTTTCAAAACTAGCAGGAATTTCAGGAATTTGATCCGGATTTGAAAGTTTTCTATGATATTCAAAGATGAAAGAGAGAGAGATGAAAATCACCCCCTTTTTAAAGAAATCTCCGGGTGAAAAGTCAAATACACCCCCTTTTTTACAATTCTTGGGCCGGATTTTGTCGCGCAAAAAATACCCCTTTACCGGAGATTTTGGGAACGCGCATGCGGTCCCTCTGACCTCGGAGTCGGGGGGCCGGGCTGTGTTCCTACTGAACCCCCCCTACACACACGCACGCACACACACGCACACACACACACTGGTGCATCACACTATAGTTGACATTGTGACGTTATACAAATCTACGAGCGACGCACGGCCACGCCGAGCGAGACGTGGTGACTCACCGATGATATAGGTCGGGATCAAGCTGAGGTAACTCCACGGCACGTTCAGGAAAAGAGCGCCGGCCGCAAACGGTGCTGCCACCAACTGGAGAGACACGAAAATTTGTGAAGAAGAACGTTATCGTACAAGAAATTCAAAACCGAAAATCAAAATTAGAAACGAAGAATTAAATGTCCGTAACAACTACGTAGGAGATAAGTACCTAAATTTCAAATATCATGCTATTATTATTGTATCATATAATGCAAACATCACGCTATTCTAACCACTTTGTGTAATTTAAATAAGCTATCTCATTCATCTCATATAATCTAAATATGCCATTCCAGTCACCACATATAATACTAACATCATGCTTTTACTACGACACCATAACCAAATCATGCATCACTCCTTGTATATAATTCTGTTACTGCGCCGGGTGTACAATAATCGTATTATGTTTCTTAGTCTGGCAGCCATGTGGGTTAACCCAAAGTTCCCAAATAACATCTTACACTTTGCTGGTTATCAATATACTCGGGATGTTTCGAATGATTTCGAAGTAGATGCGAGATTGTCACCCTTGTGCAATTTGCGATTTACAAGATGGCCGCCACGGATACATCGCGTCTCACCTGACTGATGACCAGCACCCATACGCGCGTGTACAGCCCTCGCCGCTTCACGACCTGGTCCGAGATGCAGCCGCCGAACACAACGCCAATGCTTCCTGCCACCAGGGGGAGCCACGACATGTACTTGGCAATCTCGAGCGGCGTCTGTCCCACGCTCTCGAAATACGGCTGCGTGTTGTAAGCCCACACGTAGCCGGCTGTGGGACACGGTGCAGCGTTAGTACATACTACAGTCAAACCCGCACAAAACAGTCGCTCAACAGAAACGTCAAGCATTCCCCTTATCGACGAACATCTCAAAATACAAACGAAAAGGTAAGAAAATTTCGATATTTTTGCGGGATGGGATGCGCGCGCGCCGTACCTGCGTTCCTCACGGAGCCGGCTAGGCAGAGCAGCAGCGTGGATGGGCGCGCAAACGCCGTGACGACCACCCATAGCCTCGCTCCCCAGCCATTCGAGTCGGAAGTTCCGCGATGGCTGGGCTCACTCCCTCCCGTCGACAGCCTGCTAGGCTCCCTCACTGTGACGAAGATGACGACGCCGAGGACAATACCAGGCATGCCAGCAATGTAGTAAAACCAACGCCAGCCCTGCAACGATGTTATCAGTATGTAGTAAAACCAATGCCAGCCCTGCAACGATGTTATCAGTATGTAGTAAAACCAACGCCAGCCCTGCAACGATGTTATCAGTATGTAGTAAAACCAACGCCAGCCCTGCAACGATGTTATCNATAATGCCTAACAACGCATTCTGTCCCCAATTAGCTCTTCCTTTAGAGTGTCCGTACTCACAATAATCGGCGGTTGTGTGTTAAGCAGTAATGAATGCGAATCAATTGGTTCATCCAGACCTTGCACTCTCCCGATGAATTTAGCTCTTTTCAAAGACTTGTGTTATTGGCGGACAATGAAGTATTCCTCGAACTTATCTTGACACAGTCAAAGTCTTGAGATCATCACTTTGCGTCTGATACAGCCAAATGTCTTAAAGGAGAAAATATCTCCGTCTGCACTTCTCTCCCATAGCAATATTGATCAACGTTTCACGCTGGTGCTGCTGGATTTGTCGGGTCTTAACCGCTGAGGCTTACCTTGAACCGTTTAAAACGCTTTATCCACCTCTGGTCCATGAGTTAGCGCTGCGAGAAATCGAAACGGCTCTTGTGGTGACACTGAAAATTCGCCATTAACATTACAGTAGGCCTATAGTGCTCCCCGACACAGGACGTAGTGGGCACGTGAATTCGTGCGCACGTTATGAATCCCGTTTTAGCTGGCTTGCCACAGTCCAGGGCGTCAAAATGACAAGTGCCGCTCAAAAAAAATAGGGAATAGAAACTTTCAGTATGTGAAAAAATAGGAGGAAAATATAGGAATTCTTGTGAGCAGAAAACCTTATATGTTAAATAGGAATATTTGTTGCGTATAGATGGCCTCCAACACCCCTACAAGCCATCCCGATCCACCAGCAAATGGTTTTATTAATATACATATTGGTAGTACATCACATGCCGATCAATCATTTTGAGTGTTTAATGAGAAATGCCATGTTAAAAACTGAATAAGCAGCTTTCATACATTGCATAAGCACCCAATACATGAAGACTTACTCCAAAATGAGTATAACGTTACATGTATACATGGAAGCGGATTCCGCTTTTTTGGAAAAAGGGGGGGTCCAGTAAGAAATAAGGGCCACTTTTTTATAAAAAGGGTGCCGAAGGCAGCTTTATGCGACGTGTCTAAGGCACGTATGCCACTTTTAGCGGGGGAGGGGGTTAAGGGGACCTTCCCTCAAATATTTTTTTTTAAATTGCGTGCATTCTGAGGAGCATTGAGCAGTAATTTTGAGTCTAGAATGCCAAGATGGAATTCCAAATTTTTAAGCAGAAAATGTATCTTTTGTGTTTTCCTTTTTTTGGGCGGTAAAAGGGGAGGGTCCGGACCTGCCCTGGACCCCCCCTCTAGATACACATACCACATCCAACTGAGAAACAACTTTACTGAAATTAAATCTGTTTGATAGTAAAGGAGTATATTACGTTAACTTTTTAAAGTAAGGGGAGGGGGTCTGGGAGGTCCTCCCCCAGGAAATTTTTTGAAAATTGGCGTCACCTGAATGTAAATTCCTGCATTTCTGAGAAGGATACATACAATATCTTGGATTCAGAAAAATGAAAGCACTCAAAATAGTAAAAAATAGGGGAATTTGTCCCAGAAAATTAGAGAAAATTAGGAATTGCGCCAAAAAATAGCGAAAAAAATAGGAAAAAATAGGAACTTTTACGCCCAGACAGTTCTTGCCTGTTTAGTGGGATCAACCCTGCCGAGATTACCTCCAGCATTACGAAGATTAACCAACAGCTTGGTTAACACCGCTGCCACCATTGCTTGCGCTTATAGAAACGTATAAGATTTGTGAAGTTAACTTAGGAAGGCTGTTATTTCACACGTCCAGTGTGCCTTGTCTTAAATGATGTAAGAGAGCGACTTCCGCACGTGCAGCCGCTTATATACGCAGTCTGATTAGCAGGAGCACCGTCACTAGCTATATGTTAACACTTGAACACGCGTTAAACAATGGTGTAATCACTAACACAACACACTAACACATCTCACCTGTGGGGAGGTAACGCAGTTCTTATATATGGACAGCCCACATTCTCACCTGTGCGGAGGTGGAGGTAACGAGTTATATATGACAACCCACATCTCACCTGTGGGGAGGTAACGAGTTATATATGACAACCCACATCTCACCTGTGGGGAGGTAACGAGTTATATATGACAACCCACATCTCACCTGTGGGGAGGTAACGAGTTATATATGACAACATACATCTCATGTACAGGTAACTTGAAAGTTGTTCCTTCAACCACCATTTCAGTGTAAGACTTCTTTAGCTATAATCGGAGTTACGTATAGAACGTGCCTGATGGGAAACATTTTAGATGTTAAACTCTAGATACCACTGTGTTCCTACTGAACCCCCCCCCCCTACACACACACACGCACGCACGCACGCACGCACGCACAACACACGCATGCACGCACGCACGCACAACACACGCACGCACGCACGCACTGGTGCATCACACTATAGTTGACATTGTGATGTTATACAAATCTACGAGCGACGCACGGCCACGCCGAGCGAGACGTGGTGACTCACCGATGATATAGGTCGGGATCAAGCTGAGGTAACTCCACGGCACGTTCAGGAAAAGAGCGCCGGCCGCAAATGGTGCTGCCACCAACTGGAGAGACAAGAAAATTTGTGAAGAACTTTATCGTACAAGAAATTCAAAATCGAAAAATCAAAATTATAAACGAAGAATTAAATGTCTGTAACAACTACGTAGGAGATAAGTACCTAAATTTCAAATATCATGCTATTATTATTGTATCAAACATCACGCTATTCTAACCACTTTGTGTAATTTAAATAAGCTATCTCATTCATCTCATATAATCTAAATATGCCATTCCAGTCACCACATATAATACTAACATCATGCTTTTACTACGACACCATAACCAAGTCATGCATCACTCCTTGTATATAATTCTGTTACTGCGCCGGGTGTACGATAATCGTAGTATGTTTCTTAGTCTGGCAGCCATGTGGGTTAACCCAAAGTTCCCAAATAACATCTTACACTTTGCTGGTTATCAATATACTCAGGATGTTTCGAATGATTTCGAAGTAGATGCGAGATTGTCACCCTTGTGCAATTTGCGATTTACAAGATGGCCACCACGAATACATCGCGTCTCACCTGACTAATGACCAGCACCCATACGCGCATGTACAGCCCTCGCCGCTTCACGACCTGGTCCGAGATGCAGCCGCCGAACACAACGCCGATGCTTCCTGCCACCAGGGGGAGCCACGACATGTACTTGGCAATCTCGAGCGGCGTCTGTCCCACGCTCTCGAAATACGGCTGCGTGTTGTAAGACCACACGTAGCCGGCTGTGGGACACGGTGCAGCGTTAGTACATACTACAGTCAAACCTGTACAAAACAGTCGCTCAACAGAAACGCCAAGCATTCCCCTTATCGACGAACATCTCAAAATACAAACAAAAAGGTAAGAAAATTTCGATATTTTTGCGGGATGGGATGCGCGCGCGTTGTACCAGCGTTCCTCACGGAGCCGGCTAGGCAGAGCAGCAGCGTGGACGGGCGCACAAACGCTGTGACGACCACCCATAGCCTCGTTCCCCAGCCATCCGAGTCGGACGTTCCGCGATAGCTGGGCTCACTCTCTCCTGTCGACAGCCTGCTAGGCTCCCTCACTGTGACGAAGATGACGACGCCGAGGACAATACCAGGCATGCCAGCAATGTAGTAAAACCAACGCCAGCCCTGCAACGATGTTATCAGTATGTAGTAAAACCAACGCAAGCCCTGCAACAATGTTATCAGTATGTAGTAAAACCAACGCCAGCCCTGCAAAGATGTTATCAGTATGTAGTAAAACCAATGCCAGCCCTGCAACGATGTTATCAGTATGTAGTAAAACCAACGCCAGCCCTGCAATGATGTTATCAGTATGTAGTAAAACCAACGCCAGCCCTGCAACGATGTTATCAGTATGTAGTAAAACCAACGCCAGCCCTGCAACGATGTTATCAGTGTGACGGCGCATTAGTGTTAGTTATAGGTCTGGGTCGAAGGGTGGCGGCGGTGTTGGCCGCATGGCGCGAGCAACGCGCCCATGTTCTTCGCTCTCATTACTTTGGCAGACATTGATGTCGAGCAGACGCTGAGTTAGCCGGCGTCTCCAAATAACAGCCGTTCATTCCCCAGAATCCGGTGTATTATCGATTTAGCTGTATGAGTGCTCCCATGGAAGGCATAATAGTCCAGCGCTGGACAGTGCGCCCAAACGTGGGGCAATGTTGATCCAAACAAAGAATTCTGCCCGAATCCAAATCGGAGGAGCACTCGATCTCACACATGGTGATTTGCTTGAGCGCATGCCTCGTATTCGATCCTTTGTTATGATCGACGTAAATTTGCTGCTGCGCATTTGCTAGGCAAGTAAACTAGATTGTCAATGCCTAATAAAGATTTCTATTACTATACGATAACAGAGGCGTTTTCTCAGTTGATGCTACTCATTTTTCCAAGATCAGAGGCTGTAATAACCGGTTTAATACATGTTGTTGTGATCTTGGTGGCAGTGTAATTGCGTGTGGACGTCACTCGCTGAGCCCAGACAGTACGCAGTAAGTTATGGCAGGAATGCAGCTAAGACTAGAATGACGAGAATCACAAGCATTCCTCGCTGCTGATAGGCAATATACAAGTATTGTACATACGTATATATATATACATATTGAGCATGCCTTTAATAGTACCTGTGGCACTAGCTAGAATTTGCAGATTGGCTCGGAGTCTATTTGATATCATGTAGCTAGTCGGCTATGGTAAGATGAACCTGAGGCCACTTATAGCCGGGGTATCGAGAGACAAACTTGATATATTATTATTAGATAACAGTTTTCATGTGGGTGCGTGAGATGTTTACGTATGTCTTTCCAAAATTAGCTAACCTGCCCATCGGCAAACAAAATAAAAAATTATTAAGTAATTATACGTAAACCCCTAAATAAAGAGGGCCACTGCACACGCCATGAATACGAAGGAATTCGGGCGATGTTCAGCGAGGATTTTCACTTGTGGTCAAGCATTTAACGATTGTTGGCCAATAGCACCACCTGAATGCTGCCCCTACAGTCCGCCCGACGTCCCATCTGCGCGTTCCCCTAATATTTGGCAGCGTCAGGGCTTTATGACGCTTAAGCGCATGCGAGACAAGCTGAGCCTTATGAAAGAGCCAGCGCCAGGCAGCTGAAGAGAGACTGGACGCCCGGACGAGCATTGCTTGATCAGCGCGTCAGAATTCACACTCTGCGTCCCGTGAGAACAGGATAGGCAATCACCGCCTTGAGGTACGGGTTCTACCGTAAGGATGCGAAGCATTGCATCCAAGAGTCTCCAGAACAACATCGAAACAAGATGGCAAAGGAGGGCAGTTCATGAGGGTGTAGGAGATGTCACAGCTTCAGCTGCATCTCCTGACCTCAAAACGCCTGACCACGATACGCCAGGGTGCAATAGCGGGAGCATATGTACAGGTGAGGAAGGCTATGACCCCTCAACCTTGTCGCAGAGGAATCCAGCCCTCTGCCAGGTCTCGCGGGATGAAGGGTTTGCCTCTCCTGCCGCGGCAACGCATGAAATCACTAGTCTGAGGGATGACATCCAGAAGCTGTGTGAACAAGTACAGCTCCTGATGAGGAATTAAAACTCTGGCAGTGAGCGTACCCGCGGGTGCGGCGGTCGAGGAAATCGCCATGGACCGAGCCAAGGTCGTGGTCAAAGGCAAGGTCAGAGATATGAAGATGGTTCGAATGATCAACGAGTGCAACCAGGCAATTGTCTGGGCAAGTTTCGCAACCATGGGGTTCCCCTCTTGCCAATCAACAGCAAGCTCCATTCAATGACCGATTCGACAGACATTGCTACAATTGCGGCAAATACGGACATCGCGGCGCTGACTGCTGGGATACCTGGCAGTCGGAAAACTAGTACGTGCTGTGGATGAGGGTCGCTCTGCAGCCAAGAGAAGGAAGAAGACTCAAACGATTATTCCAAGGGTTCTGATGAACGTGGGCAATCAGGAGATACTATTGTTGTTTGACACTGGGGCGGATGTCTCGCTGATGCGCGAAGATGTATGGGATTTGTTCTCACCAAGGGAAAGAGGAACGTTGTCTGAAGAACCAACAGTAATACGTTCAATGTCTGGAGACAAGTTGTCTTGCCTTGGAGCCGCGACAGCACCCGTTCGACTAGGACCTTTGCATTTTGGAGTATCCCTTCTGGATAATGAGAGGCATCGACAGTCCAGTCATTTTGGGCTGGGACTTCATGATGGAATATCCCATTACAGCCAACCCCCAGCAGAAGGAGGTCACCATCCAGGGTGAACCTTTCCCACTACTAGAGGCTGTATTGATTCCGACAACAATAACAGCAAGAGCCCTGAAGGCCACCACCATCCCAGGAAGAACGGAGGTCATTATTCCGGCATACTTACCTCATGGTCCAGGATTTCCGAAGCTGAAGTATGAAGGGATCTTAGAACCGAGCAACCCCCAGGAATAATCGTGTCCCGTATCGCGGCAATGGTGAAAAATTCGTTAATTCCAGTGCGGATTATGAATCCGGAACCAGAGCCGCTCGAAATTAGCAAGGGCACGTGTCTCGGAGGCTTCCATTGTCTTGGAGGTTCACAATCCAACACGGTGAGACGCACGTATGAGCTAATAGAAGAATACAAACCAGAGGGCAAAGAAGGTAGCAAAACAGAAGCAGTCGACAGCGAAGGGATTCCCACCGTTGATTTGTCTGGGTGTAAACTCAAGAAGGGCCAGATGCCACGTCTGAAGTCCCTCTTGAA